ATTTAATTTTTAGAAGGTCCCAATCATCTGGCTTGAGAGAACCGTTTTCCTCTCTGAGACTCAATTTTCCCATCTGTAGAATGGGACTTACCTACCAGTGTGAGAGGATATAAATGAAGTCATGTACATGAAGCTGCAGAGCTCTATACCCACCTCATGCACTGTGTTAATACCCTGAGAGGGAGTGACCAGGTTGTCAGGAAGAATTAAAAGGGAGACACAGACCTCTAGTAGGAGGCCCAGGCCCAGTAAAGTATGAGGAAGACACAGAAGTATAACAAATTTCAGTATGTGATCCTTTGGTAATTCCTTATGTGTCTCCATGCTTAGTAGCAAACCTTAGAAGAGAAGGGAAGCCACCCATTTCTTTATTGTTACCTATCTATCATATATTTTTGTCCCTGGATAGTGCAGATGGTTTAACAAACTTAGCTGCTAACCAAAATATTGGCAGTTCCAGTCCACCTGTGGACACTTCAGAAGAAAGCCTTGGCAATCTCCTTCTGAAAAATCAGCCATTGGAAACCCTACAGAGCACAGCTCTCCTCTGACCCATGTGGAATCATGGAGTCAAGGTGACTCAATGGCAACTGACTGGTGATTGTCATCTATTTTATCTATCACCACTACTTTTCCCATTCCTTTTGGTTTCATTATATGTATTTAAGACACTGTTGTTGTTCTTGTTAACAGTAGTAATATATAAACTTTTTAAAAGTCCATGCCACTATCAGTGTGAAAATCAATCTGGTTCAATTAACTATAGTTTCTAGATTAGCCACATTTTTATTTCTAGTGAGTCAAAAAATCCAGTTAATAAAATTAGTGTTTTATATGACTGTCTTGACACAAGTACATTTATGTCTTCATACCGATTAATCTCCCTTGTAAAGTTCAAAAAATTTTAAGACAAATTTCATATTGAGCCCACATGTAGAGTTCAGAATATTATACCCAGCATTTTTGTCAGCTGCTGCCCTAAAGCTGTTCTTGCCTCCCACAGCTCATTCTGGAAGACTGATTTTCATGTGAATTTAAATCACTCTAGACCAGCTATGCATACTGTCTGAGCCCAAGGATCCAAATAAAATTAGAATAAAACAAATCAGACTCTAGAAATTTAAAATTTTGATGAAATAAAAAATACCAATCAAACACTCATATTGTGCTTTTTTCTTTAGGTTTTAAAGTAAAATATTATTATGAGCTGATGAATTTTATAGAATGAAAAATTTAATTCATTGAAAGGTCTTTCTACTCCTGTAGGCATATCATAGGGCACCCTGGTGCCACACTTGTTAAACACTTGGCTGCTAACCCAGAGGTTGGCAGTTCACAGTCACTGGCAGCGCCTCAGGAGAAAAGACCTGGGGATGTGCTCCCTTAAATGCTATAGCCTAGGACACCCCATGGAGCAGCTCTCCTCTGCCATATAAGGCACTGTGAGTCAGAATTGACTCGATGCACAACACCAACACAATAGGCATTTCATAGACTTCATAGAGTAGAAAAAGTCTAGCTCAAAGGAGACAGCACTATCTAAGCATGGCCTTGCTGTAAAATTAGGGCTAATGGTCAAAACAAAACAAGGGCTTACAGAATACAGACTTGATACATAATTGCTCTGTTACTGAAAATTCTAGTCAATACACTCTATCTTTCATGTAATGGTCATGTAATTTATTCTGCACATATTTTTCTACTCCCCAGGGCTAGACTATCCAGAAGAAAAGTAAAGGAAAACAAAAAGTCTAACCCATAGTTTTATTTGCTCTCTCAATTCCCATAAAATTTACCTTTAAGTAAATTAAATATTTTTTATTTGACAATATTGTTCATATTGAAACAATATTTTATGGAGAGAGTCATTAAGGAATAACTAAAACAATGCCTAATATCTATTAGCTGCTCAGTAAATATTTATTGATTAATGGATTATAATATTTTATTCTCTGTAACAATAAACGAGAAAATGAAAAAGTAAGTTGATAGGTTCTTTCTTTGTCCAGAAAATGTTTGTTCCTAAAAATTATGCAATCATTCAAATATAAGAAGCACAATACTTTTTTTTCTTCTCACCTTTTCTAGAAAGTAAGCATAAGTGAAGGCAGAAATGAGAGAATCCAAGTCACATGATTTATGTCCAATAACCACATGGACTTTCTCTAAGCGTTTGCTTCGATTCTGAAACAAATTCAAATGAAACATCAAATTTTAATCTGCAACAGATCAATGTAAACAGCAAACATTTCAATCTTCTTTTTAAAAAGTATGCCTTAGCTATAAACACAATGGCAGAAATTCATGAAGTTTTTTACAGAAGAACATAAATTTAACATTCAGAAATGTTCATTCAAACTGTAGTAAACTGTCATGAACAGAAAATGTGGTTCCATTAAGATTTTTCATGATTTAACTTCATATGAGCTATATCTCTGAAACAAATTTTAGTAAGATTAATTTTGTTCTAAGGAGCAGCTACTTAGCATTCTATGTAAGTTCCTTATCTAAGACATGCTTCTTAATTTGTGAAACAAACAAGGTGATTTTGTTCTTATATTCCTGAAATGCAATGTAGACACATAAACACACAATTTTCCAGGCATTTGTTTTTTCATGTCAGGTGGCAGGATGTGTTCTCTCCACATTATATTCTACAATTTAGCAAATGAAACTTGTAGCACTTTCCCAATCCAAAGGAAGAGATATAATTAGTATCATTGCTCTAAAAATACAAGTTAGTTAACCTTAAAAAGTACATATATTCACCTCTCTGAAATACCTTTTTTTTCCTGATTAACTTGGTCATTACTTAATTATTATTACTATTTTTTAATAGAAGCCTGGCCTCTTTTTGAAATGCTGGACTGGAGATTCCAAACAAGCAACTCCTTCTAGAATTTTTCATAACAAAACAATCCAATACACATAACTGTAACATGAATTTACATCTTTATGGTAAGGTCAGAGATGACACATGTATACATCCCCCACTTTTCATCCATTGTTTTAACTTCCCTTTTTAGAACCAACTGGAAAGCCAGCTCTATTGTAATTCTTCTCTAAAGGTTATGCAACATGTTAGACTATTCATGACTGTTTCAGCAAAAACAACTTATTTATTATTCCTTTATCTGTAGAACAAAAATAAAACATTATTTAGTAACCTACTAAAAACCGAACCCACTGCCATTGAATTGATTCCAACTGATAGCAACCCCCATTGGGTTTCTGAGGCAGTAAATCTTTAAGGAAGTAGATTGCCCAGTTTTGCTTCCGTGGAGTGCCTGGTGGGTTTGAACCACCAACCTTCTGGTTAACAGTCAGACACCTTTAGGCACTGTGCTCCCAGAGCTCCTACTAACCTACAACTCCAAAACCAAAAAACAAACCAAACTCTCTGCCTTTGAGTCAGGATCTTAAAAATAAATCTGTAATTATGTTAGTGTTTGTATGGAACTGCTGGCATCTGAACCAGAAGCAAGTAATTAAACAACCAGGTTGTGGTCCAAGGAACATGACAAAGTAAATCTTTAAGGGAACTAGGTTAAAAGAGTCTATCAGTTACAGACAAAGTTTATAGGATCAGTGTTGCAGATGAGTCATTCAGTATGTAACACTGTTAAATTTATTCAAATAAATTTATATTGATTTTTTTAAAAGAAATTTAGAATATACTGATTTTTAGTAAAATAAGACTACTTAAAACTATAATAGAAACTCTCTGAAATAACTATTAAGCCCTTTCCCCAACCAACCCACTGTCATATAGAATCATAGTGACCCCCACTGGGTTTCCAAGGTTATAAATCTTTAAAGAAGTAGATTTCTTCATCTTCCTCCCATGGAAAAGTTGCTGGGTTTGAACCCCTGACCTTTTGGTTAGCAGTCAAATGCCTTATCCACTACACCACCCTACCTATGAGAGAACTTGGTGTGTGGAAAAAGGGGTATCAGAGGAGAAAGGAGAAAGCATGAAAAGAGAGGTATATGACACTAAAGACAGCTTCATAGTTTTGCTCTAGGGTCTGCTATGGCTCTGTTCTGTGAGATGACCTCCCCTCCTCACCATCTAATTTAGTTCCTATTCCTTCCTCTCCCAGCTTCCTTCCCCTATCCACATTAATCTATATAACTGGATCACTTGGCTGAGTATCCTTTGAGGGTTCTAGTCCAGGTACAGTTCCCACTCTCAATGCTGGGCTGTTTTCCCTGTGCACAATGGTTCATATTCTAGAAGCACCTAAGGAAATATAGGAAAATGGAATTATAAGCCATTACAACATAGATAAATTCATTAAGAAATCATATTACTGTAGTGTGTCGTTCTTCTGAGAAGCTCAAAGGTCTAAATAGACATTACCTCATTTCTCCTCCCAAATCCTGTAAGACAGACAGTAAGAAGATTAATGATACATTTTATAGGTCAATAGAATCTATGATGGGCCAGGATTTTCCCAAAATCCACAACCCAGTACAATGAGTCCTGTCTCCTCTGCCATATACTAACCACACACTAATATCATAAATGACTTTAAGGTGCACACAACGATGACCACAGGAATGAAGGGAGAAAAGAGAATGTTGAATATGCATTCTAATGTCAGTAAATTTGGACATTTGCAACACTGAAAATTACCCTGAAGGTGACCTATTTGCTTGCTTATCAAGGTTCAATAATTCCTAATCATGAGTCTGTGTTCAACTTTCACCTTGCATCAAAGAAGACATGGAGAAAATAGGGAAATTCATGTGTTGATTCATTTCCAAGCCAAAACCCAATTATTACCTGTAAAAAGAATGAACCAAATAAGGACTATACACCCAAAACATATTGGACTGATCCTGGCAACTCAAGGATCTGGTAAGATTATGATCTATTTCTTCCTCTCCATTTAAAGAGAGAAAATAAAAGTAAAGGTCACCTCACAGTACAGAGCCATAGCAGACCCCAGTGCAAAACTGTGAGAACTGTCTTTGGTACAATACACCTCTCTTTTCCTGCTCTCTCCTATCTTCTCTGACATTCCTTCTTTCCACACATCAAATTCCTTCATAATTATGTTTTCTTCCAATGCCATTCATTCAATCTGTCATTCCCAGCCAATGTCCAATTCCCAGATCCTAATCCTTCCTTCCCCAACCACCTACCTCCATCAAAATGTACCATCCTGGTACCAGCCTGCCAGAGACTTGTCTCTTTGTCCACTCCCAATTGCAAAAGAGCATCTATGCCAACGAGTTGTTGCTATAAGTTGCTGTTGACCCAATTCTGATTCACGGTGACCTCATCTGTGCAGACTAGAACTGCTCCATACAGTTTTCAAGGCTATAACATTTTGGAAGCAAATTGCCAGACCTATATTCAGAGGGACCTCTGAGTGGGTTTGAACCACCAACCTTTGGGTTAATAGTCAAGCACTTAACCATTGTGCCACCAAGGGACTTGATGTCAATGAGTACTGCTGGGTTAATGAGCTTCCTACCAGGGTAACACCCTTTCATTTTAAAGAGACCTTGGAGAGGTTATGCCACAATTCCAAAAAAAAAAAAGATGGCTGGAAATTTCAGGCTGGCTGAGAATGCTGGACCAGATAAGATGGATATGACAGCCAGAAGGTAAATTTGGGTGCCAGCCAGTAGGCCTTAAAAGTGATAGGTCTGGCTTCAAAAAACCTCAAATGTGTCTGTTGTCCATTGATAAGATATAAGAAGAGGGATAGCAAAAGGAAAATATAGTAACCATGATCAGACAGACTCCTGCATGTTTGGAGGATGAAAACAGGAAAGTATTTATGCAGATTTATCCAGTGGGTGAACTCAGGGAAAGTGCATGATTTGGTTCTTCAAACTGGGAGTCAAGAACCACTCTCAAGCTTCCCAACACAAACGACTTTGCAGAGAAAATAGAGCAAGCACAGACATCATCCAAGTGGAAAAATCCTGGGACTGATTTTAAGGTGTCCAAGGTTGGTAATAGGAAGTAATAGATCCCTAAAGTTCTGGATCCACTTAGTGGCAATGGCAGCAGCAACAAAAAAAGTAATGACACTGGTTCATGGAAATCAGGAAGAGACTTCTGGAAGCAAAGATACTTTTGCATCTGTGGGTCCCTTCCTATTTCATATCTCTACAAACTCACAGAATTTAGATGTTCAACCCTCATATCTATATCCCTTGATAACCATTGTGTGGTGCAAAGGGTTAAAGTGTTTGACTACTAACCAAAAGATTGGAAGTTCAAGTGAATTCAGCAGTGCCTCAGAAGTAAGACTTAGCCATCTATTTCTGAAAAAATCAGCCATTGAAAACCTTACAGAGCACAATTCTACTCTGACACACATGGTGTCACCATGAGTCAGAGTCAACTTCACAGCAACTGGTTGTTGATATCTTTCAAATTGGGGTCTGAATTCATCCCCAGCAGACAGATTGATTTCCAGACAAATGTGACATGTTCAGTGTATCAATTCCATTTATTATTTTCATTCATTAAATACTTCTTGAAAGCATGTCTGTGTCAGGCACCGTTCTAAGCCCTGGAGTTGAAGCAGTGAGTCAAAGAGGCAAAAATCCCAGCCCTCGTGGACTCATATTTTAGCGCAAGGAGACACAAAGAACAAAAACATTGGATAATAATAAATGGAGAAAAAGAAATCATGAAAGGGGGTAGGATGTACTGCGGTGAGGCTCACTGAGAAGGTGACATTTGAGTAAAGACTTCAATTGAGGGATTGTGACCTAAGGTACCTCAGGCCACAGGAACAGTAAGTGGAAAGGCCCTGAGGAAAGAGCATGCCCTGCGTGTTCAACAAATAATTACTGCCTGTTGTATACATTTTCTAAGTGTGACTTTGCAAACTGCTAGCAAGGAGTGAATAGATGTGATAAGTAAATATCTATTCCCTAGTATTGACACAGCCATCAGGCATTAAGCAATTTTGAGAGACAGAAACTTGACAGCAAATGCCTCAACCCAGTACTGTCTATGCCCAACACAAAATGGAATATTGATAATGGGTTGAAATAGAAACCACACTGCTTTGTCATCTAGAAGGACTTCCAAATAGCAGGAAAGAATCTTTCCATAATGAATGCACAAAAGGAAGTATATGGAACATGCCAGCATTCCAAAGCACAATTTTAATTTGCTTTCAAAGTGTAATCCTATACACCAC